TCAAGTTACCTCTCTGGCAATATAAGCTTCACCCAGAGTCAAATTATTCAGTGCTCTTCAGGATAAAAATTACAAATTGTGCAAATACATACCTTCCTGCACACATGGACAGATCACAATCCTAGTGAGGAGTTCTTTTGGGCCAATAATCTCCTGAAATTGTCAGCCAGATCTTTGTACCACTCCAAGTAATTTGTGTGGAACTTCTGTAATAAAAGACTCGTACCACTCTGGGGAAAACACAGAAAACTGTGTGGGTGCCTCGGCAGGCAGGGTTTTAAAAATATCTGTGGTCTGTGTGGCTTTATGGGATAAAATGTAGGATTTTCCACCCTGTGGTTTAAAATTCCATGTGCTGAAGTTTGTAGAATTTGTTTTTCTGAAATGTTGCTTATGTCTAAAATGAAGCCCTTACTTATGTTTAGTCAGGGCTTGGAGGAATTGACTCAGAGAAGTGATAATGGATGCTCTGGAATTGTTGAGGGGCCCCAGAATAGATAGTTCAGTAGTAAGATACTTTTTTTTTTTCTTTTTTTAAATGGAGCCTGTTCAAATTTCCCTTAGGCAGTCCATGATGAAGGGGGATACTTTTCAAATGCTGTTACCGTCACGTGCCTGGATGGTGACATGTGAGGAGAGCGTGGGTTGCGAGATTTGCGAAGTACCATCACTGCCTACTGGATATCCCTTTCAATGTTCCTGGCTAGAGTCTAAGGGGCGGGTTTTGCTGCTGCTTTGTTCAGTCTGCTGGGAGTGGTTTTGAGGAGTCCCATGCAGCGTAATGCATCTGTTTAATGCTGTTTGTTGGCTATGAAAAACGAAGCCTAATTTTTAGGGCTGTCCAGATTTCTCGCGAGTACTGAATACAAGCATCCCATATATACCTGCTTACTCCAAAAGGAGGGGAAGAATTAATGTTTAATGGCTAAAATTAAATTTCAGACTAGTGAACTATGATACAATAACAAGACATATTACTTTGGAAGTTACAGTACTGTATGTTTAGACCTAGTGTGTTTTTGCAGTCTTTTGAGTACCAATACTCTTGTCTTAAAGCACTTTTTAAGATTGCAGGACCTTAGATCCACGCCTGTGTGGATGTCTCCTCACTGCTACCAGCGAGCACTGCAGATGGTGTTTTTTTCACAATGGATCTTGTTCCCAGTGGCTCTCTTGAAGGCGTAGGTCATGGACAGCTTGGGAAATGTGACCAACACATCAGAAATTATGCTATTTTGTTATAATAAAAATAACCAGATAACTAAAAAGGCCTTTTTAAAATTAATTAAGTGAATGAATCAATAGTCAATTGCACTTACAAATTTCTTGCTATATTCCCTAATCTGGTTTGCCTCTTTAAATAAATAAATAAATCTCCATCTGGTTTAGTGAATTAAGAGTGGCTCATGGAAGGCCTGGATAGATGTCTGAGACAGCACAAGGGAAAGGCCAGATGTTCAGGAGCAGGAGAAGAGGAAGGGAGGAGATGGGCTTCTGCTTCACAAGGGACTGACTTTGTACTTGCATAAGAGCTCTTCCCCCTCTGAAGGGGGAAGGTCATGCCCTTGAAGGCAGCTTTTTGTATTAAACATCTTTCGAAGTTGTTACTTAGGTTATAAGAATGTATTTTTAACAGAAAAAGAAATCTGGAAGAGATTTTGAAAACTTCTATTGAAAAAAAGTATAGTTTTGCATTGTGCAGATTTGTCAAAATGATCTCAAGGATTGCAGTTGTGTCTACTTTCAAGGCATCTTTGAAGCTAATCTCTCTTTGATTTACTTTTCAAGACACTGCCAAGAGGGGCATGTTGGAGTTCAGTTGAATATTTGCTGTCACTAGTGAGGTATTTGGGTTGGGAATCATTAATTTTAATTTCCCAGTAGTTGCCAGGGTAACATATGATTGTGATCACTTGAAACAGATGCAGCTTCTGTAGAATGATAAAGAACAATAAAACATCTTCCCAGTGTGCTATTGTGTTCTTTGATCAACCAAAATGTTCCTGACTTCCTTGTGGTCTTCTTGCTATCCAACTTCTTTCAGTCTCTGTGTCTCGTGTGCCCTTTTGGTACCAAAAAGGTTGTCAAGCATTGGAACGGGCTGCCCAGGGAAGTGGTTGAGTCCCCATCCCTGGAGTTATTTAAAAGACAGGTAGACAAACTGCTTAGGGACATGGTTTAGTGGTGGGATGGCAGGGTTAGGTTAATGGTTGGACTTGATGATCTTAAAGGTCTTTTCCAACCTAAATGATTGATTCTAGGATTCCTTTTTTGGGGTGCTGGGGTTCATCAGAAGCAGTCTAGCCAATGTTTGTAGTTGGTGGGAAAAAAGCTGCCCATGTCGAGTAGCCAGCACTCTGGTTGAGTGCTTGCATCTGTGCTCGTCGGAGAGACCGTCCAACAGTGGAGCCTTTCCTGGTTTGGTAATTACTATTGTTTGGACTCCACACAGGGAACACAGTAATGTCTGGCTTCTAAAATGATGATTTGATATGGCTACTTACTCCTTTTACATATGTTTTATAGTGATCTGTATATTTATATGGCCTGGGAATTTATCCATGATTTATCCATTATAAGGACTTTTAATAGTTCATTAATTGAAGGCTCTGGCAGACAAAAAAGGAAAAAATTAAGCTTTCCTTTTTTTCTTTTCTGTTTTAAGGAAATGTCAAACTTTTCTGTGTTTGGACTGCTATTCCGCTGTAAGATGAGATATAAAGATCATAATATTTTGAAAATAATTGTCACTTTTTTCTGCAATGTTCATTTTGACTGTCCACTGCATATATTTAAAGGCTAGTATTGTAAGGATAGCAAAAGAATTGTGTGGTACTACTTTCAGTCCATTTACTTCCCTAAAGTAACAACTTTTCACCGTTCATTAATGCATGTAAATTTACCCCAGTTCCTTTTGATAAGCTGCATAGGGACGTGTGCTTGTATGGACTTCTACTAGCTCCTTAAAACAGATGGGGGTTTACATTTCAAAAACGGGGGCTTTAATAAAAGTGTCTTACACAGTCCTTCCCACCCTGGGGTAGCTGTCACTGGTCTGGATTTGCAAAGTACTGTTGAGGCAGCATTGGACATGCTGGGCTGTAGAGTTGTTAAAATAACTTTTCTACATTTAGGAGGTACAGTTACGGCTGCTGATATTAAAGGCATTCCGTTCAGGGTTGTTCTGATCTGTTGTCTTTGGATCTCACTCTGATTACCTGCCTTATTAATTCCCCTGCAGTTGTTCTTATTTATTAGTCTGAGTGAATATAGTATTAACAATGAAACTATACACTTCTGCTTTTGGTTTAACCAACTAGTGAATTAAATCAGTATGCAAAACTGTCTTCTTGTAGGAGTTGTTTTATCAATGTAATTTTAACAGTGCCTTCCAGTTTAATAATAATTGTGAATACATTTCACTACTAATGTTAGTTTATTTTACTAATTCCTTGTAGGAATTTTGTTAGTGTTGTGTAAGTATTATCGTGATTCTTTATTTCAGTTGGTTCAATTTGTGCTCCTTCAGTAGTGAGTATCATGTTTTAAATGAATGTAAGTAGGCATTAAACTCCTTAATTTATTTCATATTTAATTCATTGGAGGGGTTTGGCCCAGTGTTTCTTTTGCTTATGTTTATTCTAAACCTGCCCTTATGCAAGTATTCCAAAGATTAAAGAGGGGGGTTTTTTTGTGGAAAAAAGAGTTTTAGGATTGTGGCTTGTATTAACTTTTTTTTTCCCCCTTGGTATATCTTCATAAGATTAGTGAACTAAAGCTTAGCTTGCATATAATCGTAGTAATAATATCCAGCTATTTACCCTTATGTGTAAATTAGCTGTTTGTTCTATATTTCATAGAATATGGACTCATACTGTCTGTTCATATAATACAGGTAAATTTTGTAAACCTGCATTAGAAGTTCCTTCCTGAGTTTTTAGTAAGCCTGAATCAGGATGGATAAGGAATTCAGTACCTTGTGATTGAGCAACATATTCTTTTATGGGTCTTTTTTAGTGGTTGGCCTGTGATTTGTTGGAACAGCCAAATAGAAAAATCTGTTATGTGTTATTTTGGCTTGGCAGAAATAATGCAAAGAACTGTCAAAGGCAAAGAGTATGCAGAAGCTGTAATTTCCTTTTTACCACTGAAGAATAGATTTGGCTGGATTATGCCTTCAATGCTAATCTATCTCTGTGTGGCCAAACAGATTTTTGGAATCTTTTTGTAGCATATTTATTTTTCTCTTCACTTCAGGCCAAATGTTACAGTGTCATATATTTTTTTGGCACGTGCAGGGTGGTGATGTGAAAAAAGTCAGAGAGAAGGAATCGCAGTTAAGAACTCTGATCTAGACCACTTAAATTGAGATTGCCACTTGATGCAGCTAGGTCATGGCTAACAATACTTGTATGTTCAACTATGGATTTTATTTTTTTTTTAATTTTACATCTTGCTTTAAAATTAAGGATCACATTTAAAATTCTTCAACAGTTCCAAAAGAATATTGTGAAATTTGATCACAATCTTATACCTTTTTAGTTAATTCAGTTGGCTATTTAAATAAGCTTAATTTCAGTCTTCCTTCTACTGGTAAGCATGTTTTTCTTTCTACTATAACAAAAAACACACTCCGTCTTCTAATTCCACTAAGGCCACGCTACTTAAGCTTTCTGTCTTAGCTGACGATTAGTAACGTTTCTGTCTTGAAGCATCAATTTGATACATTTAACATAGTATCCATTCCTTCTTTGCCTGAACATGTTTGAACATCTTCAGTATTTCAAAATGATGGGACAGACATACTCATGCTGTACGTGCTTCTTTCTATGGCTTTTAGTTTAGAATAAAGCAGTTAAATGCCTCTTTCTACTCTCTTTTCCCGCTGTACAGATGACAGCATCTCAGCTGCGAGCACGTCTGATGTCCAGGACCGTCTTTCAGCCCTGGAGCTGAGAGTACAGCAACAAGAAGATGAAATCACTGTGCTAAAAGCAGCGTTGGCTGATGTGCTAAGGCGTCTTGCTATCTCTGAAGACCATGTAGCTTCTGTGAGAAAATCAGCACCAAGTAAAGGTAAGCCTGTATTTGGTGAATTCTTTCTAGAGTCAGAATGTTATCACCTAGAATGCTCTCCACCGATCACTTCTTTTTTTGTCCTTTTCTGTCTCATTTTGAAAGCAGGTATATTTTGAGCTGGAGGGGTTAGTTTTTTAAGAGTGGCTTTATAGTATATGGCAAATAGATATCTGACATATGCTTTTTAATTTTGCTGTTTGCTAACATTTTTATGTACTTAGCACCCCTGAAACTTTACCTTACTTCTTGTTAAAAGGTTCTTGTTTTAATTTAAATAGTGAAATGCTTTACAGCTGTGGTCTTTAACATGCCACTTGGGGGTTCTGGGGCTTATGAGCAGCTCTGAGTCTCAGCTTTGACTTCACCAAGAAGTTATTCAACTGAAGGGGGATGTATTGGAGGCTACGTTTCCCTCTGCTTCTAAACTAAAAAAAAACAAAACAAAACTAAACAAAAAACCCAAAACATGTTGCCACCAAATAAGGAAGTTTTCTGAATATAGTTAATTTTTGTTCATCTACAGAAATAACTCATCACCAGTAGGTTTCTTGTAAGAAGCGGCCATGTAGCCACTCAGCAATCTCTTTTGCCTAGTGGCTCATAACTTCTATATTGTAACTTTGAAATATATAGGATTGTTTAAAAGTAAAGAAACTAGATGCTGTTTGCGCTAATTTTTACAGGCTCTTTTTTTCCATGCATGTTTTCTTTTCTATTCTGGAGAACTATTTGAATCAAGTTACTTGAATTTACTCCAACATAGAATTGTGTATTCAGAGAGATCTACGCCTGTGTATGTTTGTGGTACATATTAAGCCTCTGATTAAATAAAAGTTTAGGTCATACTTCAGATAATTCACAGTTTAGTTCACTATAAATGCATGTATCCCCATCAAACCGTGCAGCGCTGAGTTTTCTGGGCTCAATCCCTGTATTTCAGCCTTGAAGTACACCCGTTACACCAATGCCAGTATAATCCTGAACTGACACATCATAGCCTATGTTTGTTTGAGTGGCTGCATTATACAGGCTGAAAATGCAAAAGGTGAAAATGCTGGAAGTTTGAATTATTTTAGATGTGGCAGAGAGATCAAATTCCTTAATTAAGTGTTTTTGCAGTCTCTCTGCCAGATGGAAGGAAGTGATGATGCCTAATTGGCTTGGGCTCTGAATCCTGCCATTCTCTCTTGCTTGCTAAATGGTAGACTGTTGTCATCCCTGCTTCTAAATGCAGCTTTTATCTGCCCAATATGCATCTCTGGTCTCATCAAGATTGAGACTTCCTTCTCTAACTCTCTTAATACAACTCTAGCAAGTATTTTAACTAAATCAATCTCTGCTGTCTGCTGTCCATTATGACAAAAAGAAAAAGGCCAAGTGGAAAACAGTGGGCAAAATTTGTGCAACATAGGATCTTATTTTTCCTATTTAAATGCAGATGAGCTGGGGTATGGACAAACATGGCTAAAGACCTTTGGCTTGGAGCTGTCTAATACCCAGCAAACTCTGTGCACAGGCAGGGCAAACTTTCTGTGTTCTCCTTACTGGGATTCTGGGGGTCTTGGGGCTATACTGAGTTCTCCAGGTGGATTTGTTCAGTGAAAAATAAATGATTTGGGGGGGGAGGGGAGGAGTGGGGGTGGGGAATATCTAAATATCTTCAGCTTTGTGCTATTGCATCTCTACCAATTAATGATGACAACATGTAACTGTGAAGAAAGAGATGGAGGCGAGGGCAGAGATACACACATGTGAGCTAATACATTGAACTTAAATGAGTTATGACTAATTGGCACTGTATTTAATTTGTGGTGGATGTGTCCCCATTGTGTTCAGTTACCTAACACCACCAGACACCACATTACTTCACTGTTTGTCATGGAATCAGCTGCATATAGATGGTATAAAGATGTCACAAAAGAAGATGTTCACGTACAGTCACTGGAATTTTGTAAAAGTCTAAAATTAGACTTGACGAATGAGCTTGAGATTAACATTGATTTAAACTTAAACCTCAATATTTTAATAAATATTTCAAAACAAGTTTGTACATAGCTTTTTGCAATACCTTAGGTTCTACTTATAATTTCTGTATTTTAAGTTCATTTAAAGATAAAGAACTCTTTAAGTGTTTTAACAAAGAGAAATCTATTATTTTTGTGAATGAGTAAGATCTCAATTGTCATACAGAAATAATACTCAAGGAAGTAATTTTGTTAATTTTTCTTTGAAGTATTTTTACGGTTATGTAACAGGCTCTTACTAGTCAAGTCACAGTTGCTGCAAAGGTAATTTTATTCCTCCAAAACTCTTTTTTGTGTGTGTGATCCTGTCAAGAATCTGCATTACAACAATTGCAGTTTCATGGTAAATATTATAGGTAGGTTTTCTTTAAAAAAAAATACGCTGAGACTTTGATTCACAGAAGTATTTGTCTCTACAGCAGCCCTTAAATACATGCTGACATAATAATGAGCAAAGAGAATAGATGTGTATGTATTTCTGAATACAATGAGAGAGATGTGTTTAATTTGAAGTATGACAACACAGTGGGATAAATACTTTTAAAATAAACTGAACTTACAAGAATCATAGTACCGGAAAAAGCCAACTTGAATCTTTCCATCAAAGGGTTTTAATCTGAGTAAGAGACAATATCTAACCTAATTTGAAGGAGTCTTCCCTACTTGTTGCTGAAATGAGTTTTCTAAAACCTCTCAAGTTTTCTTCTTGGCGCCACCTCAGCAGTGTCTTTGAAGAAAGGTTTTTCATAGGCTAAAAATAAGTGCTGTGAACAGACTGTGAATCGTGCTTGGATGGGACAAATCCTGATCGCTTTTTCACTGATTTTTTCTCATTCTGAAGTTGATGGCCCAACTTAGTGCAAAAAGAGATCTCTTCATCTTTTGTGTTTGTTTGTCTCTTGCATATCTGGCGAGCTAATCCTGTTCTTATTTTTCTTGTCCCTTTATTTTAGATTGACAGATTGAATCAACCATAGCTGAAGCTAAAATTTTTTGCATTATCTTTGTAGTTTTTGTTTTTCTTTTTTTCCTACGTTTCTGTTGCATGGTTATGTTGAACTTAGTCCAGTCTTCAGTGAAAAAATTCACATGGCCATGGGTAGATTTTTGTTTCTAACGCATGGGCTATCATCCTATTAGTAGGAGGTGACTACCTACGATTTTGTCTGTCTAACCCCTCCTCAGACGCAAGCTGCCCTTCATACAGGGATAGGTGATTTGTGAACTGTATGAGGTAAGTTGAAGGGTGAGATTATTTTAGCTGCCTTAGTGCCTCCTAGAAAAGCACGAAGTGGAGATAATCTATGAGGGAAATACCTCTAGTAGGCTACAGTATTAGAAATGGAATTAGCATTTGTCTGTTACTGCACAGTGACAAGCAGACTGGGAGTGTTCACACGTGGCTTGTTTTCATCTTTAGTATTTCTCAATGCAAAGTCATTCTAAATAGAGAAAATCTTCTCAAAATAAAAAGGTTACGATAGTACTTCTCCACCTCTGCATACAGCTAAGAATAACTACACAAAGGAGAAGCTACCAGGTCTGAAGATAGTGTTGAGGATTAGAAATGTGAAAGGGTTTGATTAGGGAACAGGCCCCCAGCAGCTACAGGTTTGGGAGGACTGTAATGTGTGGGTGCATTTATGGTTTTGTTGGGGTTTTTTCCCTTTCTTTCTTTCTTTTTTAATAGATGGCTTGGTAAGAAGAATTTCTTTGGTGAAAAGTTCTTTGCTTTTGGCAGCCCAGCGCTCTTGTTGCCACATGTCTCTGCTGTTGATGCATGATTGATGCTGTTAACTTTCACAAAATGTTCCAAAACCAAAGATTACCTGGACACTGAAGAAAAGAAAAGTGTAAAGCAGTCTGGTACTTGTGGCTGCCAGCAAGATAGATTGGCTCACAGCTGGTGCCTGGTAAATCTATTAAAGTCTTCCAGGGTGTCAAAATGTGTGTAATGGGAGAATTATTCTCTCAGGCTCTGGGTGTGGAGACAAGTTTGTGGCACACAATGGCACCAGTAAAATATCTCAGGCTAACCATATCACTGGGGTGTGAGCTCTTGTCTGAAAAAGTGTCCATCTACCAGAAAGTACATCTGATGTTTGCCCATAGGGAAACAAAAAATTCACATCCTTTTTCCGGACTCGGAAGTAATGAGGAGGCTTGTCACAGGTTAAACCGTTGGAGGAACATTTCCCGTTGCTTGGACAAGAATTGATACCAAATAACTTGGATGCAAATTCAACTCACAAAGTGAAACCAAAGCAATGGATGGCAATTTGCAGAGAGAGTGTCCCATGACAATGCAGGCTGGCAGACTGAGGCATTATTTTACTTAAAGCAGTGATTTTGGGGACCTGAAAAAGCAGCTATGTACTGGAAATGCAGGTGGGTTTTGTGGTGGTGGGGGGGTGGATTTAAATGTTTTCCTTTGTGCAGTGGATTTTTGTAATAGGAACCCAGAGAGTTTTCCTTGCTTTCCTGCTCCCTTCTCTCATGTGAAATAATGTGTCTCTTCAGTAGGAAAAATCCTAAGTAGTATCTTGCATCAAATTCCATCTCACTGCACTAATGTAAGCAAAGCACTTCAGATGTAATTTTTACCTTACCTCAACAATGGTTTCTTTTCAATAACATTAGGTCAGTTTGGTTTATATTAACAAAAATTGACTTCAGGTGCTCAGTAACCTCCATTAATGAAAACATAAGATAGACTTGCATTTGTGGTTTTAGTCTTAACACACTTTAAAGTGCAGAGTTGTTCTAATAACTGGGTACATGTTTATGTTGTTTAATCAGTAAATGTTAAAGGAACAGAAAATAGAAGCATAGATAGGAAAATGCTTATGGAAGAGGTAGGATACAGGCTCTTATCCGCTGTACTAAAACTAACCTGGCAAGCTTGTACACGTGTCATTTTACTCATGGGAATAGTCCAATTGAAGTCTGCAGGCTGTATGCTCACATAACAAA